ATTATTAATTGGCTGAATGTTTCTCTACTGTACATCAACTGACTTGATGGCGGAGTTTGGCCGCTCGTTGTGTGGGAAATGATGGCAGCTTTACTGGTACCAATTAAAGAACGTTAAGTTACGAGACGAATTAAGCAGTAATCTTTTAATTTTTGTGAGCAATCAGATATCAAAGACTTTTTTCACAAAGTTTTGAAAGATTGTGAGCCCGAGGTGGAATTCTGTGCTTCTTTTTAAACTTATTTTCTAGTTTGTCTCTTACAGAAGGATAGTGAGAGAAAGTAACATCACTTATTGTTGACCAAAATCAGATTTTTAAAAACTCTTACTTATATGAAGTCACTCTCGCTCTCGATCCAACTCCCTCAAAAGACCTCGACTAGAACACGATCTAGTAATAGCGGACGTTTAAAAACGACAAATCGTTAGTAATAACTCGGCCTACACCTTCTCTGAGATCCATTGGTTTTTTTGCCAAAAATGAGATCGGACGAACGAGAACGGTCAAACGAATAACACTGATAAAAAATAATGCTTTTATCGTGCTTATATTGACAACGTTTTGAAACGTTAATCGTGGGACAAACGATTTAAATATTTTGTCTTACCAGTAACTCTAAATTTTTGTATCAACCTATGCATCGAATATTTGAACTGAGGAACGATTAAACGAGTATTACAATTTTGTGTCAGAAAGTCACACATGTTATACATATATGTTACGTTATTCGCTGGCCGGGAGGTCCGTATTGGAAAAAGTATACCCGAGGTCTTGAGTACCGCCTGAAGCCGTGGGCCGATGGTGGTACTTAAGACAGAGGGTACAATTTTACCCAATACGAACCTCCCGGCCAGCGAATAACGTAAGTAATAACGTAAAGTAAGATGTATAATAACGTAAGATCTTCCATAAACTGAACAATTTTTGAGCGGGTAAATGGTAGTTAAAATAAAGGTTTTTTAATGCAAATTAAAGAGAGGGGCTTCACCGAAACATTTTCATTTGTGCAACGATAAAGGTGATTTAAAACGCTTCCAAACTAACTTTGAAACATTATTTTTACAAGTATCTGTCACAACCTGACACCTGTCAATTAGAGAACGCGTAAGAAACAAAAAAGGGCCAGTACACTTGTGAAAAAACAACGGAACTAGTTTGGCAAGGACTGTCAGGACAATGTTTTCTTTAAAAACAGTCAATGATCTTACGGAAAGTATTATTCACTCTTATCGACGATTAATTGATGTACGAAGATTTATCTCTGTTCAGTAAGTAAATGCCAAGGAAAGTAACTAAGTAACTGAAATTCAAATTTTTTATTTTGAAGTTGTGAGGGTTTGCTCGTTTGTTTACTGGAATGGCTTGTCCAAAGCTGGTCTTTCCTCCACAAAACTAAATTCGAATGAGGCACTTAAACTAGACACAAGGGATCCGGAATTTAAGGCGGCTTTTTCTCATTAAATTCCATCAGTTTCTTTTGTGCAATTAATGGAACAAACGTCCAAACTGAACGGACTTGGAGAAACTCACTGAAAGCCCCTTTGTAGTAGAAATGTAAACTTCGCTCGCCCTTTCAGTACGAACAAATTATTTTAGAGAATTCAGATATGAAATGGATGAAAGTTCCGTCAATTAATTGAATTGTAACCAAATACCTCGCGTTTTAACTTTCTAGGTTATTTTTGTGAAGGATTAAAATTAATTACAGACGGTGTTTAGGCCGCTTGTCAACCAATTTAATGATACTCTTGCTTGTATACAAATTCATTTCGAAACCAATAATTTTCTGTCAACCAGAGTGATCTGAGAGAGAGAAAAGAGACGATTAATAAATCATTTATCGACTTGAGGTGGTGACCGACGTCTTTGCCTAAATATACTGCCCAGCCAGAAAAACGAGATGTAGTTATGAAAAATGGCAACGAAGGTAGAGATGTACTCGGCGACTCACAAAAGCGTTACCGTTGCCCGTGGGCAGAGAAAGGAAAATACAGACCGCGCTATGAACCAATCAGATTGCATGATTCGTTACCGGGCCCTCTGAGAAAAAAAAATAAAAGCAAGTACCAGCCATGGTCAGGTACATTCTCTTGCATTCCTGCTACTCTCATCCGACTTGATGTTGTTACAAACTATATCATATAGGTGTCATCTGCAGTTTTTTGTTTTTTTGTTTTTTTTTT